TATGTATATACAGGGACAGCAGCGGTAGTAGTAGCACCATGCTACCTATGACGATTCTAGTTTCGAAGAGACATCTCTTGCTTCGAGAAGACGGTTTTTACAAAAGCTCTTTGTCCCGCTTGAGACTCTACCTCCCCTCGCCTAATAGTCTAGAGCTTTGCTTCCCCCTGTTAGCCCCTCTCCCTTCTTCCTCATCGTCGCTTTCGTCATGACTGGTTATGTCGAAACGACCCCTTTCCATTTCATTGTCATCTTCGTCCTCGCTGCCACCCGCAAAGGCATCATACAGCTCACCAGCGCGGCGCTTCTGGTTACCCTTCTCGCCGGATGCGCGTAAGTTATCACCGCCGTCATCAGCGTTGAGAGGCTCGAACTCGTAGTCGTCCCGGGGGTTGTTGAGGCGCTGCTTGCGGCGCATAAACCAGAACCACGCGCCGAGTCCGCAGCAGAAGGCGACGATGAGACCGATAGAGCCGTAGATCCAAGCTTGAGTGCTAGAGGAGACGCCGAATGTAGGAAGGAATGAGGGCAACCAAGAACTTTCAGCAGTAGTCGTCTCCGCGGCTGCAGACTCGGTACCTGTCTCGGTAGCAATACTGTCGCCCGTAGTCTTACTAGGCTTGGTGGGGCGTTCAGGATGGTCTGTTGGAACAGCAGTCGATCCTGCTGTGTTGGTTGCATCTGGATTTGGAGGGAGGTTGGTTGTGGCGGCGGGCGGAGTAGCGGTACTTGTTACATCGTGGTCTGCGTCATCGTCGTCGTTTGGCATGGGCAATAGCGTAGCCTTAGAGGCGTCGATACTCTCGCCCCATAGTTTAAGATGCCAGTCGATAAATTTGCCAGAGTCGTCATTCACAACGCTATCGCGAATAATGAGTGTCCATTTCCCAATTCCAGATTCGCCCCTAAAATATCATTAGCTGTGAAAACACTAGATTAGAACTTGGTAAGCTTACCAGTGAACCACACTCATGAAAGTCCAGTCGTTATAGCCTTCCTTGCTAACATCATGTTTACGTGTAGCAGAGATGTGGCTGACCACGTTGTCCGGACTGATGAGATCGACACTCAAGTCACCTCGGCGGCTGTGCTCGACATTCATCGTCACGGTAACATGCTCGAGACGCTCCAGATTTGCTTCTTTCAGCATGTCCTTTGTGACTTCGAAGGTAACTGCCAATCCCTTGTCTCCTTGGGGGATATCCTTATTGACATGCAGCCACGGGGAATAAAACCAGGCCTGGGGCTTAACGTTTTTCCAAGACTTTGCCGTCTCTACAAGAGCGTAGCTGTCAACCTTGCCGTAACCGAAGGTATGACTGAAATTCTTGCCGATAGTAGTGAGTTGCCAATCTCCAGTGTCGAGGTCTACAGGCACCGCGCTCTGCATGGCAATATATTGCATATCTCTCCAGGATAAGTCAGGTCGTACTTCCAGAGCCAAAGCAAAGATCCCAGCAGCCAGGGGCGCAGCAGCAGAGGTACCTCCATGTCCGTTATAGCATTGATTCTCTCCAACGTCGGTCGTATGTATAGCATCACCGCTGCCACTGCTGTAAGTAACAACGAGTTGAGCCGAGCATTTCTCCGAGTAGTAAGGATGCAACCCCTGTCTGTCGATGGCACCAACAGTGATACTGTAAATGCTGTTCGTATACCCGTCAAAGTTGCAGTTATCTTCGTTCTGAGCACCGTTGCCGCTAGCGAAAACATATATAGATCCCTTCTCAGCGCGTCCCTTCTGCACACCGTTCAACATAGCCCTCTTGATAAGAATACCAGGAGCGTCCATCGACTGTCCATCATCTGGCGGACCCCAGGAGCAAGAGTAAATATCATTATGTTGGAAATCGTAGTTCATTGCGAGGGCTTCGTCCGCATCCGTGATTAGTTTACTCAGAATACGAATACCGGCAATCTTGGAATCGTATGCGACACCGACGCCGCAGACGTCATTCTTTGCAGCACTAACCTCGCCGGCACATCGGGTACCATGTCTATCGTCGGAAAGGGTTGGACGAGGTTCCGGTCTCTGGTCATTGAAGTCGTAACTACCAGCGGCGTAGTAATTCGGCTTTAGATCATTGCTGTACATATCCAGCCCGTCATCCACAATAGCTACAGTCGCATTCTTGCCTGTAACGCCCGACAGCCAGACACCAGTGACATTCACGTCATGTCCAATTTGAACGGGGTTAAAAAGATGCCATTGCTCGTTGAATATCGGGTCGGAAATCCCAAGTTTCTCCATCACGGATTTTTGCTTTTCCACTGCTTTCGCATCTGGCTTGTCTTCTCTTTTCCCAGGATATAGATCAGCTGGCGGGGGTGGGATGACTCGCTTCTGCATGGGAGCCCGTAACTTCTGCTTGTGGGAGGATTTTACTCCATCTAGGACATCCGCATTGCCTAGCGACCGCTTGCGCCGACGCTCTTGCACAGCGCGCCTCACAATATCTTCGCTGGCTTTAGGGGTAGAGAATATGTGATGACCTGGGAGTTCGCCTAGCGGGCCCTCATGTCTGAGGCCTAGCCGAGACGCGATTAGGTTAGGCTGAGCACCGCGTTCAAGGTGGAGGACGTAGTAGTCGTTGGAGTCGAAATTTCGGGGTTGCAGGACCGCGGTGCCTAATCCAGCCAGGCCACCGGCAACCAAGCTAACCAGAGGAGCGAGCTTCATGGTGTGGGATCGAGTAGACGTCGGTCGAAGCACCCCGCAGAGCTCAGAACGAGTCGGTAGTTATCGATATAGCAAACTTCAAGGAACGGAGAGGTAGATGAGATCGAGTAAAGTAGGTAATTCGATATCGAGTTAGGGGATAAATAGGTAGTGAGGTGGTCTTAAAGGTATTTCGAATGTATGTAGTCACTGCTAAACGACCGGGGAAAAAGAAATAGACGCAACAAAACACCTTCGCTCAAGGCAATGCACGAAACCCCTTTATGAACAGTAAAGGAATTAACTAATCAGATGAAGAAGAGGCAGTCTCCCTATCAATTGACGCAGATGAAAATCTACTAAATAAATATTACAATACTACCGGCTTGTTTGCCTCATCAACCGGTAAGAGTATTGTAAAGAATGAATGTAGATAGATGGGAGAAAAGAAGGTTTCACTGTAGTTGTTAACGCGAATGCGCACGCAAGTTACAAGTTGGAGGGCTGTGGCGGCGTAATCGAATCGTTATGTCCAAGGTTCTTTTGCGCTAAACAGGCCTAAGGTAATAGGCAACTCACAGCGGAAAGCCAGGTGTTCCTAAACGCTTCCGAGCAGCCGAGCCACGCGCCACTCCCTTTCGGGGACTAGATTAGCAAGATTAGCAAGATTGTGGAGATCGTCTCAAGTTATAATTGGCTCTCTTAGGCTATCAAGACCCTTAAAATAGGACCTTAGTTTATTGTAGTAAGCGGTTCGCCCGCCTCAAAGTATGTAATAACTGAAGCTGCATAAGTCCCTGTTCAATGCAAGGTACCTAACACCATGTACCTACCTCTATATCTTACATTTGTATAACTTTTCTAGCCCGAGTTAAAAAGGCTGATGACAAAATCATTATGCAAAGTGCAATATTCATGTTCCTAGAGGCTCATTTAAAATATATTTAGGAGGTATATACTTTATTTTATTTATTTATAGATTTCGTCGTGATGGCCTTGCAAAGTCCGCGCTCTTTACCTTGAATAGAGTGTTTTCCCCTTCAGATATGACATCACCGTCAACCGAATATCTACAGTGTGCGGCCATCGACATCTAATGAAAGAAGGGAGAGCTCTGTACGGACCCGATATGTGATCCGGTTGGAGCCACGGCTCGTGCCGACGTTGGGGGCAACCTACTCCAATGAATTTCCCAAAACAGACGATACTTCAACTCGAAGCCTGTCATGCCTCCCGAAAGCAAGAGATAACTAGTCTCATTCCTCTAACAAGCAAACAAGCCAACAAGCCAGTATCCGCATAAGTCGTTCATGTATGTCTAAATGCTCAGGTTGCTGAGATATAAGATATACAGATTGATGTAAGTAAGTACCTATTGATAGATCGTCCTCGTCGCAATTAGTCTCTTTTAGTTTTCGATCAAACAAACAAGATGGAGCTATCTCATCTACAATAAAGCATGCTCACGGCCAGCCACCGTTGTTTCGGCTTTCCGTCTTATCACTTCGGGTTGGTGCGCAACATAATTTTGCGACAAACAGATTTAGCTCCCGAGGATCAACTCCGATTCCTTGGCAACGGCAACAAAAAAAGGGAAGTTCTTGTTCCCATATCGTCCGACTAACAGGTCGAATCCACTTCATATATGTATCTAACCTACAAGCCGCATACGATACTAAAAACTCCGCCGGTTGACCGCTTCTTTTCCCGGGAAATCAGATCCATCATATTCATCATCGGGGAATATGCGACGCCTACTTTTTTCCCCTCCGTAGGTAACTTTTATTACTGGTGAGATACGAGGTCAGATCTGTATCTTACCGGGTTACATGGTTTGATTCTCCCCTGTTCCGCACCAGTCGTAATCAAGGATTCAAACGAGAAAAATCGGGAGGCTTGTAAGGCTTGGAGATCCGAAGAGGAAAAAAAAAAAGATCCCTGTGATGCTTCTTTTTTTTCCCTTGCGCCAGCCTGAGAAGGTTGGAATAGTTTTACCAGCCAACTTATTAATTTTCTCAGCGCCCTTCAATATAGATCAATACACTAACCGTTAAACACTAACTAAACACTTCTATAATCCCTATGGTTCGCCATTGCGTCTCCATAAAGTTACATATGTCCTGAATACTTGAACCTGTTATTCCCCATCTCCCCCATCTCCCCCTGCATTAATTACTGGCTTCAACCACCCGAACCGCATGTGTCTGCATGGCATTGGTCTATCATGGGCACCCGCAGATGAGAGCTACTGTGTTAGTCTCGAGACCCTCTCCCCCCCAATTCAAGTTCAGCCTGTCTTTGAAGCCCAATCACCGCCAGGCCTGATACATAGCTACCCATAATGTCGGCGCCTTATTGGGGCCAATTGCCCCCGTCAAAAGCTCGCCGCATGTCTGTCGACTATGACCAGACTGATCGTCGACAGTCTTTGGATCAGTCCGCCGCTCCGCCTCAGTCTCAGACTTACTCCCACTCCCGATCGCAGTCGCAGTCGCAGTCGCAGTCACGGTCGAACCGGGTATCCGTACAAACCAACCACACCGACGCTTATACAGAGTCTACACTTAGTCCTCTACAATCACCTGCTACTTCCAACTTCCCAGGTAACGGGCTAGCTCCCCGTCCACCCTCTCTGCCTTACGGGCAAAACCAATATCCCGTAGAGTCGCAGGGAAAACGGGCGAGACGTACTAGCCGGGCGCAAGAAGACATCTCTTACGACGAGACTCCCGCGTCACCTTCCCCTCCCCCAGCCGCTCCCGACGTCCCTAGAGCTCCGCCGGTCAGCTACAGGGACCCTTACAGAAACAGTAGCCCGGCCTTTACTCCGACGTACACCTACAACCCGGACGGTTCGCCCGGGCCGCCGCTCTCGGCTTACCGATTTGGTTCTCCCGGTTACGGTTCCCCTCAAGCACGAATAGCGGCCATGGAGTCCGAGTCTTTCTACAAAGATGCTACCCCAGAGGTTGACAGGCTAAATCGAGCACCTGTACTAGATCGAAGTCTACAAACTTTTGACGAAAGCGGGAGTGCTGGCAAACAGGCATTTCGGGGCCTAGAGGGAACCAGATCTATAGGGAAGCCAACAAACGGCGATACAGCAGAGAAGGAGACTGTGGATCCCTCTGCACCAAAGAGACAAGGAACACTGAATGCGCCAGTAAAGCGCCCAACGTGGGCAGACGACCGGTCACCGTTGCAAAGGCTCGAGCTGACCCTCGATAGCATCACCAAGGAAGAGAAACGAGCCCGTGTAGAAGCTGCTGAGCATCGCGCAAGAGAACGAGCAGCGCAGAGAGAAAGTGTTTCGATTCAAGAGAGGCTTCAGCTTCTACCAGAACGTCAAATTAACCAGCAGCCTCGGTCTATAGATCGGCGTCAATCCGACGCCCGGCCAGAAGAACAGCGTACAGTTATTGCTGATCCAGTAGCGGTACAACCATCGGCGACCGCATCCTACGGGCCTTTGAGTCGTAGCCCCCTAGAAGAAGCCAGGCAGCTACCCGACCAGTTTTCACGCTCACAAATTCCAGTTGTCAGAAATCGCAATGTCACAACAGCTGAGAGGGCTGATATACCCCAAGGTAACTTAAGTTTTCGTGAGAGAGCTGCTAAGAACGACACCAATATACCCAGAGATGTAGAGAGTAATTCACCAACGTCACCCATTACTCCAGTGAGTGGAGGCTTTTCTCTCACTCGTAGTGGAAGCAACAAGCTTAAGAAAAACCCGCCGGGTGACCCCTGGTATAGCGCGCGTAAGGAGGCCGAGGAAGGATCAACGGCTCCGTACAGACGCTATTCGCAAAAAGAGCGGCCAAGTGAAGTGCCTAGAGATGTGGGCGTCCCGCTAGGAACTGTCAAGCCTAGAAATGAGATGGGTACGAGAATGCCTATTTCGCCAGAGTATAATGAAAGGCCACCAGCAAGAGGTAAGCAGCTAAAACAAGAAGAATATAAAGAACCTCCAGTTCAACAGAAAGGACCTGCAGCCGCGGTTGCGCTTGGCCGATCTGAGTCCGTAAGGAATAATCCAAACACACTACCGTCACAGCACCCTTATCAAACCCCGGTACGTAATATAGAGGACCCGCCGGCACCCGTTAGGAATGTTGTGAAATCTGTTACGTTTCCGGATCGAAAACATGAGGCACAAATGTTCGAAGAAGACGACTATGATTCAGATATGAACGATCATAAACTCGGTATCCACGATTACATGTATCGGAGTAAGCTCAAGCCTGGTCGAGGGATATATCAGCCACCGAAGTACTTAGAGGAATGGAAGAAGGCTACAGTTGGAACTCTAGCGGGTCCTCTGTTAGACCTAAGTGAAGAGCCTAACCCTATTGCTGAAAAGGCTACGCCATGGTGGGAGAGTCCCCCTAGCAGTAAGCGTAGAGGTAGTACGACGACGCGACCACCACCCGAAGCCCCCGAGGACCTGTACGATGATACCAAAGGTCCGACGAGGTTTAAACCAGCATTATATCTCAAATGCGGACCGCTGCTACGTTACTGTGGCCTTCGTTACGAAAAGCCACTGGCACAAGCAAACCGCAACGACGAGGTTTCTAACCTAGAGATATGGAGAGGCAGCGTCATGATTGTCACACAAGACTCGGAGTCTTCATATGATATTCCTCCGATTCTGCGGCTTTTTGTCCAGCCTATTGAACTCCTCCCACCTCCTCCCGTAGAGCTACGTGGGGAACAGACTCTTCCACCAGAGTATGTAGACCCAATCGCCGGCATACCGAAGCTCGGTAGACGGGGAGAAACACTATACGTACGGCCGGTGGAACACTTAGAAGAAGCTAAGGATGTTTCGAGATTGGAGCCTGATGATGGTCTATTCGAACTCACAAGGACTGCCCCTGACTTCAGCAACGGGCCTGACCCTCCGGGTTCTTTTACTAGTCGTAAAAGACGGACGCAGGTTGACGGAGAGAAGCTGGGGAAGTACAAGGACGTTCGTGGGTTCCGGCTGCATGCGGAACGAGGCCACACGTTCTGGAGATTCAACATTGAGGTCGAACTCCGAGACTATCAACAGAGAATAGCCTACCGCATCAACCATGGTCCTGCCATGGGCTTCTGGGTACCCCCTCGGGGCGAGTCGATGAATATTATGTTCTACAGTTGCAATGGGTTTAGCCTGAGCGTGAACCCAGATGACTTCAGCGGACCAGATCCTATGTGGCGTGATGTGCTCAACAACCATCAAACCCGACCGTTCCACGTCATGCTTGGGGGTGGAGATCAGCTTTATAATGATGCTATCATGCGAGAGAGCCCTCACTTCCATAACTGGCTGGATATCAAGAATCCTCTGCACAAAAACAACGCGCCGTTGATACCAGAGTTGCAGGATGAGATGGAAACGTTCTACCTAAACAGATACATGATGTGGTTCTCGCAAGGCTTATTCGGCCTTGCAAACTGCCAAATCCCCATGGTCAACATGTACGATGATCACGATATTATAGATGGTTTTGGTTCCTATCCCCATCACTTTATGAAGTCCCCAGTATTCAGCGGCTTGGGCAATGTTGCATTTAAATACTATATGCTCTTCCAGCACCAGAGTCTACCAGATGAAACCGAACAGACTGAACCGAGCTGGATTCTAGGTGTCAAGCCAGGACCTTATATCCGCGAGTTGAGCCGCAGTACGTTCATGTTCCTGGGATCCAAGATTGCGCTGCTCGCGGTTGATTGTCGGACTGAGCGTACAAGAGACGATGTCTTACGAGAAAATACGTGGAAGAAGCTTATGGACCGTTGTTATGATGAGATTGTCAGGGGTAAGACGCAGCATCTGCTCGTTCTCCTGGGGGTTCCAATTGCCTATCCTCGGTTAGTGTGGCTAGAGAACATGTAAGTTTCAATCCTGAGCAAATCTAATACGAGAGTGCTGACATCCTTAGCTTGACTTCACGATTGATGGATCCCATCAAAGCCCTTGGAAAAGCGGGTATGCTGGGCAATTTCCTCAACCGCTTCGACGGAGGCGTTGAAGTTCTTGATGATCTTGATGACCACTGGACAGCAAAGAACCACAAGGATGAGCGAAGAGTCGTCATCGAAGACCTTCAGGATCTTGCTGCGGACAAGTCTATTCGCGTGACGATTCTAAGCGGCGATGTGCACTTAGCTGCCATCGGCCAGTTCTACTCGAACCCTAAACAGGAGCTTGCTAAGCACAACGACTTCCGCTATATGCCTAACATCGTCTCATCTGCCATTGCCAACACGCCGCCTCCTGACATCATGGCCGACATACTTAATAAGCGAAACAAGGTTCATCATTTCGACAAGGAGACCGATGAGGACATGATTCCTATATTTACCAACGGAGTAGACGGCAAACCCCGTAACAACAAGCGTCTCCTCCCCCACCGAAACTGGTGCTCTATCCGCGAGTACGTGCCTGGGCAGACACCACCGCCAACTCCGCCTCCAGAGGACTACGAAATGACCCCCGAGGGCACTCCGCCAGGTAGCCGGGGCGGTCTCTTCCGCAGATTCTCATCGAAAAGAAAAGGATCCGTCCTCCGCAAGGACGGAGCCCGTGACCCCGCGGACCGTTCGCGTCCTCCTGTCTCCAGCAGCGGCTTCCTACGCTCGCTCTCCCGCCGTGCCTCAACGAGCGGCGGGTCGCGCTCAGGCGGCCTCCTACGCACCCTCTCGCTCGGCCGCGTCGACAACTCCCGCCCGCGCGGCAACAACAGCGGCAGCATCTTCGGCCGCCGGAGGAACAGCTTTGACAGACCCGATGACGGCGGCATCAATGGCGGCTGGGGCCCCGACAGCGAGGAGGACGAGGAGGCCATGTACGAAGCGTCGCGGGCCCGGCGCACACGTGCTACGACTATGACTGCCGCACCGACTCGACCGGCTGCGTATGCCCCTACTGCGCTAGATTACTACGGGGGAGGGGGCGCGAACCCGAATATGGGCCGTATGCGCGGCGGAGGTGTAGAGCGCAATGATGAGTACGAGGTCGGTGATGATTCGTATTTCACAGCCAAGTCGCCGCGCCGCGCATTCACGCAGCCGACTAGGGGCGAGCACGGAGGCACAGGCGGGTTTAGTAACAACTACAGTACTTACGACGATAACCCCAGCTCGGAGTGGGACGCGCCGCCGCCGCGGCCATTCCGCCGTACGCCGACGGGGCTTACCGCGAAGCAACTGCAGGCAGCAGGGGGCGCGGCGAAATTCGAAGTCGACCTGCAAGGTGGACTGGACGTATGTCTCAACGTGGAGGTTAACGCGCGCGACCCGGCGGGCATCACGGTGCCGTATCGATTACTGGTTCCGAGACTGTGGTACGAGTACGAGGGCGAGGACGCGGATGTCGGTGCGGATACGGAGAGTCAGACTGAGCTTGATCAAGATCAGGGGTATGAGCATGAGCAGGGACAGCCGCGTAACTTGTACGATGATGTGGTTGGCGATGAGGAGGAAGAGGGGGAGGAGAGACCGCAGAAGGGGGTGTTGAAGCGCTTGTTTAGCGGACGGGGAAGTCAGAATAGGGCAAGGAGGGGGTCGTCTTAGGGGATGCAGGGAAGCTGTAATATGCTTGTCGAATACTTGCTCCGAGGGCTATTCTCATGTTTTCTTTAACTCTTTTTTTTCCCGCATCATAATACCTGGTCGGATGGATGAGGAAAAGTTTCTATTCACACTTGGTCGGCAACAGATACTTTCACACAGGAAAGCTTTTTGCATTTATTTTATATTCATTCTACCGTCTGGATACCTACCTACCTAGGTACCTAAGGTACGCACGCACGCAAACATATTGGGATTGGTTAGGTATGGAAAGGGGAAGGAAGGAAGGAAGAAAGCTAGTTCATTGTTATCGCGAGCAGGCAAGTTAGCCTTGCTGGACCGGGGCTCGACTTGATTTTGCCCGAGGGACGGGTTTTATGAGTTATGACGTTTGGAGAGATGGCAGGGTTACGAATTACGCACGTGTTTGGGCTGGGGGCTTGCAAATTGAAGCTGATTATGGATGGCTGGCTGGCTAGGTTTGCTTGACTTATGTAGGTACGTTAGGTTAGGTACTGTACTTGGATGCGTTGGTGGGAATACAAATTTGCCGTCTGGTCATGAATTATTGAAGGGGCTTTATGTCTAGCATTTACGCCTTGTTTTGGTGTGTCGTGTTGTTTCTGTTCCTTTTTTCAGAGAGTGGCACCATCCGGACCCCTTATCGACTAATTTAGATGAGTATAAGAACCTATATCTTGGAAGTATGACTTATTCTTGTTTCAACTACTATCATAATACTTGTCCCTTCTTCCCGAGTATAACGGCAGGTCTACAACAACTAAATAGACTGGCGATAGGAGAACAGTGGAATCGTAGTCCCTAAGCAAAGTACCCAATATAATACGAAGGTGTTAAGAAGCCTAATCCACCTCATCGTCAATTGACCAACCGCGCCGAGAAAAATCCCTACCCAATATTACATCCTACCCGTTATAAGATAGCTAAGTCTGATTAAGTCCTCTGATATTTTCTATATATATTACTACCATGTTAAAACAGTATTGTCGTTCAAATATCTAAGCCAGTCAGTTCGACGGGAAAGTTCCCCCCCCAAGCGCATCTTTCTCTGTTTGACTATACCTAATGTATACCGTACATCTCAAGCCGCACTGTTTCTGAGGGGCCAATTCATAATAAGAGATCAGACCCAACCAACCTTTTTTATCTCTAGGTATGTGAGACGGCCGGTCTACAAGCAAATCGTTCGGGTTAAGACCTAAAGTCCAGTCTTACTAGTCCTACCGTAAGGATATATAAGTTATACTTAGAAACCTGGTCCTTCACATACGACCATAGGATCTGGAAAACTCGGGATCCCGTCCGCTCTCCCATCGATAAACCGGATACCGCCGGACCAGTAGTTGGGTCGGTGACGACCAGCGAATCCCCGGTGTTGTATGTTTCTTTTTTTATGTTTTTCTACGAATCTTTTTGTTGATAGGTTTTGCTGATATCCTGGGGATGAATCTGTTATGTATAAAAACAAAAAAACAAAAAGAGGGGGTGATGATGGGAACCAAGCAACATCAAAAATATGATCCCTCGGACCGGAATCGAACCGGTGACTTTTCGGTATACAATCTTCACAATTACAGCCGAACGCCATAACCAACTAGACTACCAAGGGTGGTATTAAGAGCTTTGCCCTTTAGTATAGCTTATGTGTTGTGTTGATTTCTAGCTCTAGGTAAAGTTCTGAGGTTGAACTGTATTATCTCGAGGACGTGGGTCGAGATAGGGTATTCGAGTTGATGCCAAGGTGTGATAGTGGATCGGAATACCGAGCCATTGGGATGCGTGGGACAACTTGACGAGGTACAATGATAAACAATATCGGTGAAGGGTAGAGGAGGAATACGTATATACCCCGAGGGTGCACGCCGAGTAATAGTTTGATGGTACCGTGTTATCTCTCGTACGTAGTCTAAAAAGCCAAAGCACATCGACCCGGTATACACTTCTTCAATCTCGATATAAACTAGGTGGTTGAACACGTTAACCCTTGCATATTCGTCTCATTGGAGAGGGACGTTTCATGGGTAATACCATCTTCGATCCCACTTGAGTAGAATTCTCGAAAGAGCGGTCGAAGCTACAATATGCGGAATGTAACATGAGCTGGTCGAACATTCGACACGTTTGATGTCAAAACTTAATATAGAGCTTCTAGCATAGTAGGAGCATCCTATTTTGGCGACGCGCATGTCCCGTGTGTGCTCGTCAGCCTTATCACAACTACTTGTAGCTATCAAAGCTACCTTCGCATACCTGCATCCGGGTCCATAAGGTCGCTTATTCCGATAACATCTAGGGCCACATTCGCTGCGGGGGCCCGATCGATAACCATTATTTGGTATTGTCGGTCCGTCCATAAAGCTCTCAGTACGTGTGAGTGCTACATTAAGAAAGTCGGGATCTTCGTTACACTGCGGACCGGAGCACAGCTCATAGGGCCGGGGGCGAAATCCGGGAGCGAGAGGCGGAAGCACATGCTTGATCTTCAATTTCCACTCACATTTTCTGTTGAATAACTGGTGTGTTTCACGAGCAAAGACGCCAGTGTGGAAACCCTAATATAACGACGAACCAGTTTGGAGGACCTCCCTAACTCAAATATTAGGTGCCAGCAACCCGTTTCGTCTGATTCACCTCGCATGCATGTAGGAAATACGTGTAGGGTCCAGAGAGCGGAGAGAACGGCAAAAGGTTGCTAATCCAGACTTATCTGATTACATAGTAAGGATCATTTAAAGATGACTTGACTCGCGAGGTGGCCCCCATGTAGCTCTCGAGATTGGAGACCCACGTCAGGCGGGAAACGGCTAGGTAGCAGCAGCTATGTACAAAAAGCATGGCTGAAGGCTGCATAGCACTAGTATGGCAGCAATGTGGCGATTTGAGTAGCCCGGTAGGTCTACTCCGAGTATGCATCATCGAAACCAAAGATAATGATATGTGACTTGGGCTCGGCATGCTGCGATATGTATCACGCATACAAAACCTAGTCTAGCCGGAAGCAGTGGAGGGTCTCGGCATATGAGAGATCAGCCCTCGTCTCAACATACCCGTCCATTCCGTTCCTGGGAACTGAAAGGGTATGACTGCACCCTCATGCACTTAGCAAGATCCCGAATAAATCATAATTGCCTAGGCTATACCACTAGGGTTTGAGGACGATATTCTCCACATGTTTTTTAAGTCATGCCGCTGTTGCGTCTACGACGTTCAAGGACCGTGGGATCTAAAAACGGTTGAGCTGTAGCCGCGGACGAGATCTCAACAGGACCGTCTGAAAAGATTGTCAAAACGAGGCTCGGATTGAGCTTAATTGATCATGAACACGTACGGCTCACTTGTCTCTCAGATGGCCTTCTCACCATAACTTCGTTGATCGATGCCGGGGCAACTGTATACGATTTGGTCGAGGGCGGCTTCAACGGCGGTCGAAGTTTGCCCTTGACAAGTTCTCGGTGCACGTGTCCGCGCTGGTGCTCGGTCGACATTTTGACCTTTTCTACTCGGACACTCGAACACACAAAACATACACGTTCTTTACTTTGTACGTCGTCCCGGGTTTAATGCGGCGGTAGTTCCAAGTGGTAGGCTTAGAATTATATGATTTTTAATATATAGGATACACGTAAGAAGTGATTTGTATGGCGTTGAATGCAATGGTAGAATGGTAGAATGGTAGGATGATAATAGGTGGAACCGAAGAGCGGCCGCTTATACTTCGGTAAATGTGCACGGACCGAGCATTCTCTTAGTGTACCTAGTTGCCCGGTAGCGTAGCGTCTTCTGGTAGCGCTAGTGGCTTGCCTATTTTAGATAAGAACTAAATGGGACATTTTGGCCTACCGCAACTCTTTTGGGTCGAGCCGAAGCTGTTTGTAGCTATCTCGATTGTGCGACAATGCGAATCAGTTGATCAATTGAATTATTCTTAGCATTTAGAACATATCACAGAAGAAAAGAGAGAGAAAAATCTTTACTTGGAGTCAATTGGAAAACTGTAAAGACCTAGCGAAGCGAATATAATACTGAAATGATGTTTCCTCGACTGCCAGGGATTCTCATTTGAAGAAAACAAATTGGGGTAAGAGCACCTGATCACTTAGACCGGGATTACCTTCCTAGACAAGTATTCCGTTGGCCAAGATGGGTAAAGTGTGACCTTGTTACCCCTCATTTTTACTCGTCGATGGAAGGCGGCCAAGGGAAGTCCTATGCAAGTTGTATGCAGTTGACGGCTTGAGATGATGGAGCTTCGCACAATGAACAACTCATTCCCTTCATTACAGGACCCATGATTTGCTGTTTAGGTACCTCCTCACTTTAGGTAATGTAGGTACCTGACCCTACGTGCATTCCGATACTTATGACCTTTCGAGATTGATTGAGACCAATTAGTCCAATCTCTTTGGTCAATTGAAACTATCAGCGTCTAATGAGGTTTCGAGCTTATGGGTAGTGGATGTGGATGATTCTTAAAACTGCTTTGACAAACGCCAAACTATATTCTTGATTTTTCTTTACCTAACTGCTTTGCCCTACCTGCCTGCTTCACCTTACCCTTACTTGTTAAGTTGTTCTTTCTTTATTAGTAACTATCCAGTATCCAGTATCCAGTATCCAGTATCCAGTATCCAGTATTCAGTATCCACTTTCCAGCGTATTGCCCGCCACCCCGCGTTAGCGGCAAAAAAAAAACCAACAACTTTTTTTTTTTTTTCCGTTGTCAAGTCAGGGAGCCGCAAGTCGCCTCTCCCACCCAAAATTTCTACTCATATCCTCTTATCGCTATTAGCCCAGACCCCTCCTCCAATTACTCAATTCCGTGATCGGTCTCGGAACCTCGACGTAAAGCAAAGTTGAGCAAAACTCAGCCTCGGCCGGTGCAGCGGCACGGAGCCATACGGAGCAAAGAAATTACCTCAAATTTACAGCTGGTCACATTCGTCCACGTTCAATTGGATTGATATAATTAGTCAATTGAGAGTGCATGGATGGCCACACAGTTGTCGGCGCCGTTTCGGCGCCGTCGACGAGCCCTACCAGCCCTGTGAGCGTTCATCGCCATGGCTCCATGAAGCGAAAGCGCAGCGAAGGGGGTCTTGGAATAGAAAGCAGTCCCGGCAGCGTTATCGGCGACGAAGATCAGTCTCTCGCCGAGCCCGAAAAGAAGAGGCAACCCGGAGTGAAGCGGTATGTCCACGATCCATTCGCGTATTATATAATATCTTAACCCCAACATGTATCAATGCTTATACATATATGCACATACATATACATACCTTACATGATGACACATAGCTAACAGTATTTGGATAGTGCGTGCAATGAATGTAGGCAGCAGAAACTTAGGTGCGATGTTATCCAAGAACCATTTCAGAGTTGTTCGAGGTGTAATCGTTTAAAACTCGAGTGCAAGATCGAGTCTAATTTCAAACGAATCGGCAAGAGGTCGAAACATGCCGAGATGGAAAAGGAGATCGACCGGTTACGTCGCAAGATAGCCCAGGCCAAAGCCCAAGGCTTTGTAATTGACGATGACGAAGACCTGCAATCTCAATTGCAATCCCCCGTCGCAAATAGTGCGTATTCGCATACCCGAAATCCTTCGCTCATGGGATCCGATGAGGCTGTTACGTCCCTTCTGACTCTCAAGCGAGGAGGGTCGTATAGCTTAGCCGCAACCCATTATGCCTATGAGCTTGAGACAGTGCGGCTGACCGAGCAGGATGTCCACGGCTTGTTCCAGGAATTTTTCAGCTATTACCACCCGTTCCTCCCATTTTTAAACGAGCATCAGTCTCCTGATTTATATTATCAGCAACATGCCTTACTCTTCTGGACCATCATCGCCATTGCCTCGCGGCGTTACCATGCTAAGCCCAGCATCTTGCACGAACTGTCAAGCGGCCCTCTGAATAGACTGCTCTGGGGTACCGTAGGCGACGTACCGAATAGCTATTTCGTCGTTAAGGCCCTTTGCCTATTATGTACTTGGCCTCTACCGACAAGCACAACGACGGCAGACCCAACCCATATTTTATGTGGTGTGATGATGAAAGCTGCCACAGGTATTGGCCTACACCGACCTAACCATACCCAAGACTTCTCCCGCGTATCAGTAGAGCTTAACAAGGACCAGCTTCATGACCGAGTAACGACCTGGGCCGTATGCAACATTGTCGCTCAGTCTATTGGAACCGGCTATGGCCAGCCGGCTACTTCTCTCTACGACTGGACATTGGCAATCCGCCCTGGTGAGGATGGTCCCTTCACGCTTTCCCCTGAACTTGAGGCTAGGTTGAGAATAGAGAGGTTTTGTGACAAGGTCTCAAAGGAAATGTACAGCAATGCAAGCGATCCCAGGGGCGTGGCCGGCGACGAACACAGAGCCATGCTGATGCGGGTGTACCGCCGGGACTTCCAAGAATTACAGACATCAATCCTTTCACAGCGTCTATCGCCGATTGTGGAGATACACTTAACCGCTGCCAATGTCCATCTTCGCCTCGCTGGATTCTTTGATTCCAGCAGTACTCCCGGTTATATGGACGATCTCATGGGCCTATGGCGAGCCATTACAAGCTTCCTAGATCTCCTGTTCCAAGACACAAACCAGCATATATTACTATATGCCACTAATTACATCCAACAGATGCTCGTTGCTGCCGGGTTCGCGCTATTAAAGCTGATGAGATCGTTCTTTGCTAAAACGATAGACTTCGAAAGGGGAAGAACTCTATTTCATAAGACCATCAATGCTATTCGCAGGACGAGCGTGCTAGACAATGACCTGCAATGGCGGCTAGCGGAGCTCATGGTTCAGATGTGGAATGGCGCACGAATTGACAATAAGAACAACACGTCATTTCACGACGACGATAGTTCTGTTCTTATAGACGATACCTTGCAATTGAAGGTCCGTTGTAGACATAGCATGAGTCTCGTATTTGACTCTATTTGGCGCTGGAGGGAAGAGTATCAAGCTCAGGGCCGTGGGACACTTGATGGTAAGGTCATTTCCTAATTTCTTTCCTCTCGATTAGTATACCTCGCTCGCGTGGCTTGGGGGATTTACTAATATCGAGTAGCTCTTAAACATCCAACTAATCCAGACTCAGGTAACGAGTCTTCCGCGTCTTCCACACATATGGACAGCACATTATTGCCGCATAATAATCTGGCGAATCTGACGACGATGGCGACGAATAATGGTGGCATAACACCAACGGCAAGTCACGGCCTAAGCGCTGGTGCTAATAGTATGATTGGGTTAGGGTATGGAAGTGACGCGAACTACGACTTCTTCGACCCCCAGCATTGGATGCTAGACGGCTTGCTAGATTTTAACTACACCTTCGCTCAGCCTCTAGAAGGAATGTAGGATAACCTTGGGGAGGTTTATAACACACTTGAGCAGAACCCTTAGACGCTAATAACACTAGCGAAGATACGTTCCCGGGATTCAACAGCACCGACCAGATGCTACAGGTCACTTTATGTATGAATTTAAGAGCACGGGGAATGAGGGCGTGGTTGAATAATGCGTCCGGGATGTGACTCGCATAAGGGGCAGGCGCGAGAGAAAATTGTTCTTTTCATCTGCCACCCGGTGTGGGTTTTAATTACGTTCAATGCTAGAGTGCTACCTCTAGCAGAAATTGATTACGATTAAGGAGAGATGACTATAGAGGGGCGGTATATAACCCCTCTTCATTGTGCACAATATTGCGAAAGGGGGGGAACTGTATACCAGGAGCGTCGGGGTTTCAGCGTGGATTGTTTTGTGTGATATAGTTCTATATATCATGGTCACTGGTCTGTGCATTGATCACGTAGTCAGCATTATTCGGAGCAAAAATTACGAAATTGAAATTGTCACAACTTCATCTAGATGGTATTTCCTTGATATGGGTGAATTTGTGGGAGCTTTGTATGCTATAACTTAGACCCTTTGAGGGATTCGAGCTCATGCATCGTAAGCAAGCCGGTGTTGGTAGTTGTTAATTCTAGGTGCGTGAAAGAGGATTGTGTGATCCCCCCTATATGGTCTGTTAAGATCTACGGCGAGGCTATAGCTGAAAAATAGAGACATCCAACAACACAGTCCCGAGGTCGTTTACGAAGGATGATATCATCTAATTACAAACTAGTAAGATTCGTTATCGAGGGACACCTGCGTTCCGAGCATTCATCGACGAGGAGCCGGGGATTAGAATCGGGGGCGGACGATGATGTCTAATGTTCGGGTGATTACCAAATAGGCTGTCTTATCGCCGAAGCAGGAAGATCAGCTACGTACGCCAGAAATAGTACCTAGCATCCAATCATTCAGCTCGGCAACTGACTGACAACTCCAAGATATCATCGTTCCTCGTCCCCCCCTTTCCCGGGCTCAGCTGAACTTACCGCACCTTCGTTTCGGCGCCGGCATGGCGACGCGACGTAACGGCGAGCACATGGCCTTTGCCCGAAGCGGAATATTTTTAAAGGGTGTCATTGATCCTTGGGTAGATGGACACATACACTACACGCATACACGTTTCAGAGATGCGTGTGGGTGGCCTGGACTATTTGCCCACACACTCACACTCTCACACACACACCACTGCCTCTCATGGGCATTGATATTACTTACGTACGAGGTTGGTCGCGTGGTAGCCGGATCCTGCAAAGCCGTGGCGCCGAACGCATTCCTCTGGAGTGACTACCTAGTCCGCAACAACAACATGGAACTTTTCGAATCTTTTTATGGCCTCCCCTGAGGGGATCGACAGGGGGGAAGGGATTTCTCGTACATAGGTAGGGAGCTATGCGCGCAAGTACCGGGTCTAGGATGGGATGGGATGATCTCGTCGCCAGTTGGCATGTATGTATGTATTAAGCGCGGATGGTACGCACGATGCTTGTAAGTCGGCTACCAACAACACCAGCACCGCATCCAGTCATCGTGCTTCCCGTCTCCAGGTTTCCTAGGACTTCTGACGAGCATGCTTGCAGTAGGTAGGTAGCGAAAGCTAAGCTAAG